AAAAAGTACTCACACTACCTAATAATGGGTGACTTCAATGTACCGTCAATAGCATGTGTGTTCCCAAGTGGGCCATGCTTCAAATCAAAGCTCCTTGAGTTCTTGGCTATGGCAGTTTTGTATAACCATGTGGATCAACCAACCAGACACCGCGGTTCAAACAAGCCTTCAATACTTGATTTAATCCTGACTAATGAGGAGTTAATGGTTGAGTCGGTTTCATACAACCCCCCGCTAGGTTGTAGCGATCATTCAGTTCTAACGTTTGATTATGTGTGTTATGCCAGTGTGGTTGACAAAGAACCAGAAACCCGACGATTCATCACCAACTATTCCAAGCTTCACACTATAGCGACAACCGTTGACTGGGACCTCCAGATGCACACTTCGGCGAATGATGCCTGGCAAGTGTTGAAAGGCAAGATAAACTGGGTCCTACAATCAGCTTCAAAAGACGTACCATTACGAGTTTCGCGACGGAGCAACAACTGGATCCGGAGTAGAACACGTAAGTGGTTGAACAGGCGAGACGAGGCTTGGAGGGGTCATTTGCTAGGTCCAAGTGATATCACGTGGAATCATTACAAAACAGTCAGAAACTACTGCACTTCACTCCTTAAAGCTGACAAGTACGAATGGCAGGAAACTATGGTACGCAAATTTACTAGCAATCACAAACTGCTCTACCGGTATGTGAATGACAAAAGGAAGGTTAAGACGGGAATACCACCACTAGAGACGGTCAATGGCCTAACGGTTACTGAAGAGGAGACCGCGGACGCATTGCTCATGCAGTTTGTCTCAGTGACTAGACACACCATGGAACCATCGCCTTGCTACATCCCAGCAAATGTCGTCGGCTTATCCACGGTCAACTTTAGCCCTACATCTGTGGCAAAGAAATTACAGTCGCTCAGGGAAAATAGTGCGCCGGGAATTGACAAGATCTGTCCGAAAGTACTTAAAACCCTTGCACCCACCATGGCAGTCCACCTTGCAACCTTTTTCCAGTTTCTATTTGATTCTCATACACTTCCGTCTGAGTGGAAACGTGGACTTATCACTCCGATATACAAGGGAGGTAAGCGGTCAGACCCTGCCAACTACCGACCTATTACTCTCCTTCCTGTTCTATCAAAAGTGATGGAGTCTATAATCGCTGATGAAATGGTGAGATATTTTGAAAGTCTACAAATCATCTCCAACCTCCAACATGGATTCAGACGCGGACGATCTTGCCTCACCAATCTACTACTTGCTCGAGACTCATGGACCAGGGCTGCTGACGAGGGAGTTCCCGTAGATGTGATTTACTTAGACTTTTCTAAGGCATTCGACAGAGTCAATCACCCAGCACTTCTCCGAAAGCTTGCGGCCTATGGTATCCACGGATCCTTGCTCACATGGTTGGAAAGTTACTTATACGACAGAAGAATCGAGGTAAGGATCGCCAACACCCACTCCGATAGCCTATGCGTCACTAGCGGCGTACCGCAAGGATCAGTTCTCGGCCTGTTACTCTTTTTAGTCTATATCAACGACCTCCCTGCCAACATTCAATCACCTATGCAAATATTCGCCGACGATGCTAAGATGTGGCGAGCTATTCAGTCAACATCTGACCCTGTCTATCTGCAGGATGACCTGAACCGGATTCACGAATGAGCAGTAAACAACCAACTACCCCTGAACCCCGAAAAGTGTCACCTGTTGTCGCTGCGCAGTAACTGCAGCAACACATATCACCTGGGGCAGCGCGTTATAAAACAGGTGAGCAACGAAAGAGACTTAGGGGTCATCGTGCAAGAAGGTCTGGGTAATTCGCTCCAATGTTCAAAGGCAGCTAACATAGCGAACTTAAACTTGAGGCTTTTGAGGCGAGCGCTCGGTACCTTCGAGCGACAACTCGTGCCATTATTGATTAACGCCTACATTCGTCCCCACCTCGAGTATGCGGTGCAGGCATGGCGTCCGTGGTTAAAACGGGACATTCGTCTCCTGGAGCAACCACAAAGAAGAGCCACTAAGGCAACACGTGGTCTATCGGGCCTTAGTTATGAACTGCGCCTTCGTTCGATCGGTCTGTACTCCTTAGAATACCGACGACTTCGCGGTGATCTGATCCTCACTTACCGGATACTAAGAGAAGAGGACCATCCATGTAAGTCACTGTTAACATTATCTGCCGACAAACGATGCCGAGGCCATGCACTAAAACTTGTGACTCAATATTCCCGTTTAGATTGCAGAAAGTCTTTTTACTCTCTTAGTGTCTGTCCGCACTGGAACGCACTGCCATCGCATGTGGTGAACGCACCAAACATCGAGACATTCGAAAGACTATTGGACTTGCACTTACATGATACACATTATATAACGGTATGACAAACTGCAGTGTCTAACTTACTGATATTTTTGTGTCACACCTGAAACTTTTGTTTTCTTCCATTTGCCATCCTGTGGGTCTTGTAAAGTTATTGCTTTTTATCCCACCATACACTATTGAACTATTGAATTTAACTACCTCTCACCGGAACAGCATGGCTTCTGACGAAATCGATGGTACACTGCAAATCTACTACTAGCGCGATTTAGCTGGACTGAAGCAATAGACCCTGGCACAGGAGTTGATGTAGTATTTTTCGACTTCTCTAATGTCTTCGACCGGTTAGATCACGACAATCTGCTCTTCAAACTCCACACCTTTTTGTATTCGTGGTCCTCTCCTAGAATGGATCAAAAGCTTTCCTCTACACCGGTGCTTGGAAGTACGAGTGCGTGAATCCCTGTCAGATCCCATTCAATTTGAATGCGGAGTAGCACAAGGATCGGTACTTTGACCGTGCTTTTTTGACGTATATTAACGATATCGCACGCCTAATAGGCGCGAACTGCCTGCTTTTTGCCGATGACATAAAGGTGTGGAGAGCGATCAATACACCAGATGATATCACAGTTCTTCAAGCTGATCTGTATAGGGTACATGCGTGGTCAATCCAGAATCTATATCGATTCAGTGTGGACAAATGTAGGGTGCTTCACTTATGGCATATCTTAGCGTACTCCTACAAACTCGGCAACCAAGAGCTTGAAACGTCTTCTGGCGAGAAGGCTCGGGGGGTTTTGGTCCAGGTCGATTCTGGATGTTCGAATCAGGCTGAAACGACGTCAAGCCGGGGCATCTAACACGTGAGCCATCTGAAGCGTGCATTCGGGGGATTTGATCGTTCCATTGTTCCACAGCTTCTCAGCTCATACATAGGCTACATGTAGAATCCGTAATACAGGTATGGCAGCCATGGCTGAAGAAAGATCTCACGGCCTTGGAGATAAACCAACGCCGGGCAACCAACAATGTCATGGGTCTGTATAATATGCCGTATGAACGAAAACTACAAGTGCTCGGGGTCTTCGGCGGACAGTATCGGCGATTGCGCGGGTACCTCATTTCGAGTTACCAAATTTTGTGAAATCTCAACCACACGCGCCGCTTCTTACTAAAGCTCATTCACAACATCAATTTGAGAGGCCACAATCTCAAACTGACAGAGCAGTCTAGTCGTTTGGAATGCCGTCGGTACGTTGTTTCCGTACGCGTTTGCAGAATGTGGTATACCCATCGGAATCTGTCATATGTGCTCGCAAGCTAGCGTAATTCAAAGCCCGAGTTGACCGAGCACTTATTTCGCTGCACCATCTTACATGACTCATTACCCATGGATAAACACCAGCGTTCACTGGCGGTCCAATATTATTTTTTGTTCCTCTTTTTAACCTTCTGTATGTGTACACCCGGAGACACGATTTTTACCAACATCCCATTTGTCGTCATTCCTTATGGATTTACCTCATATTTACAGCTTATACTACGTGTACCTCAGTGAGTTCACCGGTGTAAACCCAATCTCGCTGACATGTTTTTTATATTTTGAAGTTTCACCATATCCATCCTACGGGACCTGTAAAGCACTAGCTTTTTACCCGTATAAAACCATTGTTCCATTGTTCATTTTTATTAGGCCCGCCGTGGGAGCCATATTTTGCTGTTCGGGACGACTATATTGATCCTGGGTCAATCGCAGCGCTTGCAGCCAGCCAAGTTTGTGACTGCCAGTTACGGGCATCTGTCATTCCGGACCCTTGAGTTCATCTTTCGCGGAAAGGTGAATGTGTTGATCCATTAGGAGGCGCCTTCCGACTTAGGCAGACAATCCTATTATGGCACTATAAGGCATTTTGTGGAAACTTGTTTTCCTTTGTGCCGACAATAAATGGAATAACCTTAACCGCGGATTCTCGCACCCTATCTAAATGTGACCGCACTTTCATCTGCATAACAACCAGGCTTATTGCAAAGCTGATCGCATTATAATTTTTACCATTCGTACAGCATTTGTGTGAAAAAGACAGCCCATGATTTTGGCAAGATTACATTCATCTTTCGGATTATCTTGTTCCCAGTTCACTTACTTCGGAGGGTGCACAGCCCACACTCCGTGTCTGCCATCATCCGATTATTCCTTGCACCGAGCAATGAGTCACCCCAAACGGAGACGTTGTCTTGGTTCACAGATGACTGCAAATGGGCTGAACCTGCTACGATGTTACTACTGCTCTTTTCAATCAAACTGCGATGAAAGCGAAGCATGCACACCATTCCTCTATGGGGTTGTATGGTATACTGACTATGTGGTAAACACTAGCATGTAGAGCCATTTCTCTACTCTTACAAACGCCGCTTTCATCTTTTACCAGCAGCGGCTGTCCTACCTACCAATATTCGTTCAGAGTTTCATTACACTTCAACAACTTGTACCTACCACGCACTAACTACCCCAAGTTTTTTAGTAAAACCAACCGTTGAGTGCTTAATCCTCGTTGGGCAAGCTTTGACTTGTCTTCTGTCTTTCATCAAATTGACTCCGCATAAATACTGATGGCACCGCCATTGGTTAATACAAGGGGATCATGAACGGCAGCCAACAGCAAAAAATAGTCATAAAGCAGAAATATGTTATTCTTAAAATTTCACGTGGTTTGGAATCGTCGTCCTGTACATCATGAAGCATAAAAACGCGATGTGGTCAGTCAACACATCATAGATTTAGCACTCAATCTTGTGTTGCAGTGAGCGCTCCCGCATACATCGCTCCGCTTTGAAGGACGTTCATTTTATTTTGAAAAGCACACCTCCCCGAGTTGCACGCTGACTTGGATCCGGGGTATTACCTCCAGTTCGATATCTCTCACGGGTAGTAAATTGGGTCGGCTGTTGACGAGAGCTATAGTTGCTCCGTTATTTACCTGAAAGGGGAATACGAGCACTTTTAATACTATAACCTCATTGGCATATCTATCATTGCTTGGAGGAATTCTCTCCTTTTTTAGTTAAATCGAATAGATCGTATTGTCAGCGTTTTCCTCTAAATCAGATATTTCCGGCACATCGAACACGTACCGCGTCTCATAGCATCCACACTGTTGGTTTGGATTTCATATTAAGTATACCACTGCGTCTCAAAGTATCTGTGGCAAATGCACCCGCTATCCCTTTCCCTCAAGTTTACTAGTTTAAATTCAGAATGTAAAGTGTGGTGTACTTCTACATTAGCAGGTAACATCTCGACTAATCGCGTTGTTGACATACTCACCACCGGTTTGTTGAGTGCTTCCAGCCCAACCGGAAGAACAGGAAAGTCCGTCATGGCATCAATTAAACACCAACCAGAGTAACTGACACATCACAATCCCATAACGCGTCAGCGTATGATTTTAGATCAGTATTGAAACAATACCTAAACTCGCGTTTCAACGTTTAGCCACAGCGAGTTAACGTGACACGAAAAGGTTTACGAGTACACGTCTATTTTAGCATTCTTTTTGGCGCCAGTGTTTCTTTTGCAAAGCAAACGTGTTCACACCCACCACAAACGGTTTTTTATTAGTGTAGTATGGTTGTGACACATCGCAGCTTTTGACTGATGGCATTTCAATCTGGTGATCAACTCACCAACCCACAAGTGTCCCTTTCGATGAAAAACTTTGATTTCCGATGCTTGGAGGACAATATGCTGTCGTCGTCTGCCAATAGCTGGGTCAATTTTGGCGTTTGTATCTTCTCTTCTTTCGGTGTCACCGACTGCAGATCCCCGGAACAGTTGAGCGTAATTTTCTGTGTGGCTTTGTCACTGAGCAACTTTAGATAACTGAGCTGTTCTGGATCAATTGCGTAGTCAAACTGTTTCGGATAGAGGTTTTAGAAAAGGGATGGTCTTATATCAAAGGAAAATCGAAATCAAACCTAGACTTTCGCTACTATCTAGCGTTCTGTCCGGTGGCTAAACATGTTACAATATGTCCTCTCATACATGACTGATCAAATACCGTAGCGTATATTTCACTCATTTAGTGACGGAAAACTGTTAGAGAGTGTATTCTGTTTTGCTTACCTCATCGGTGGGAGCTAAAGCGGTTAGAAGTGAAATTAATGGAGTTTGTAACGTCCCCTCGGGTCAGCGAAAAATAGCTGTCCCGTTTGCTTCAATTTGCACTTGATTGTTCTTCAGTCATCAAAAACATTTTACTGATGCACTCACCTCACCAGATTTACTGACGTGCTGGAACCACACGCGCTTTCCTGTGGAAACTTTGCTCCAGTCAAGTGGCTCTACCGTTGCTCTTTTCGGTTGCACGCAAGTTCCTCGGTTGCGTGCCCGACACGTGACCTTGATGGGTCCGTCCAGTGGATTCCCTCCGGGATTGATCCAATATTGACCTAGCGTGTAACACGTGATAATGCGTTTAATGTAGGAAAAATTTCAGTTTTAGTTCCGAAATAATGTGCTGGATATTATGCGAGATTCAACAGTCATGAAATAATGGCCTGGGGAGCGATCGCTACTCAGTCTCTGCACTCTAGGCTGTCCAAGTAAATTAATGTCCAATTCTAATGTGGCTTGTGAGCTGCTAGAATGAATACATTAAAATTCAACTAAAATTATCTTACTCCTGAGTAATATAAGATACATCCCCCTAGTTTCAAATGCTATGGGCATTTCGTCTGGTGAGTGGAAGTCATGACTTCGGAGGTTAGCCACTGTCATCTGCAATGGTAAGGATCTGCGTGCAAGTGGAAGATCGTGTTATATTTCAGTTAGCATGCAAAATATGCCGTTCAAGCACCGTCCTCTATGGTTCAGTGGCTTAAGTGGCTAGCTAGTTGGCGTTAGCCTCTGGCAGTTATAAGGTCGATCCCCAGTAGGGGACCGCAGCATGCACACAGCTGACGAGCGAAATGCGCGTCTGGTACATTTTCGAGTCGTGTGGTACTATGTAGCCTGTGAGCTACTGGAACTAATAGGTGAAAATTGCAACTAAAATCCTCATACTCAGGAGTAATGTCCAATACATTAACCCATACTGGAGATGAAGCGCATCACGAGACCCTTTTACGTCATTGTTTACTTTAGTTATCCGTGAGTTGAATCAGCCTTGCATTGTAGCGTTCTCCATCGAACAATTCTGTTATATTTTCACCTTATGCCCAGCCTTTTTGGAATGATTGCGCACATAAACTTCCGGTTATCACTTTTTTACCTAGGCGCCGGTGCACTGTGATATGTGAGCCCCGGAGAGGTCCGCCACAGTATGTCGGAAAGTTTTACACAACTACTCACTTGCCAGCAACTGGTTTAATTTCAAGAACTCAAGATGCCGATTTAGGTGCATAAGAATTAGTGTAATCAACCCTACGGCATGCGAATTAGTTTTTTCAACTATAGATGTTGCGAATTCTGTAGGACATGCAGCTGTTAATTCCACCAACCCCAGCGAGTAGGCATTAGACTGTGTTCGGACTAACTGCTGTGACTCAGAACCGGGCGAAGCGAAATCAGTCATCCACGAGCACTGGATTACCTGGACGCAATGATTTACCACAGTTACGAAACCGATCATGTTCCAAATGTTCAACGACAATCGGATGGAGAATCGTAAAATCAAAATAGGTTTGAAAACAAAGCGAATCTGCCTAGCGGGAGAATCGCCAATGATTCTGCTCCCAACGGCCAGTATACAAATTTCGATGCGGTTGCATTTGGAAAGCGAATCAAGCAAACGCGGTTTGACTACTTTTTGAGTCTAGAAAGACACGAGTAAACCACACATTGCAGATGAATAAGAGCGTTGTTAATTTCCGAATATGCTAAATGTTTCCAAATTCAATCAACTCGTCGGCATGTATGGGGCCAGGTCAAAACTAGAAAACTTGTAACCGGCTGTACTGGATCCACTGTCGTGACTGTTTCATCAGTTAAGTCGCAGAGTACAGCATTGCATATGGTCTGTTGCACCATCATTAAGCCAGTATGCAAGCATCGGTATTGCCAACTGACTACATCCGGGACGTGTAGTCTTAGAGACTAGTGACGCATAGATAGGCTCTTGGAGTCTCTGACTTAATTTCACTGCCAAAGTTCGAGTCCGGAAATGTGCGCTTATCATTTTCCATGTCTGAGTGCCACATTTCATATAAACCTCAGGAGTGTTCGCAAACCTTAGGGGTAGCTAACATGATCGAACCATTTGGACTCTATTCAAAATGCCAATATTCTGATATTTAATTACCAAATTCGTATCCAGAAACTTCAAAATGCTCAAAGGTTTGTGCACAATCATACGAAAATCAGACTCCTGGAATACATTCAGCATTATCTGCTCAGCCAGCCGGTGTGCGTGTTCTAGTCCATAACTCATGTGAGCCACCTTGCAAGGATCACATTTCCATTTGACCACTAGTCAAACATATAGATAATCTGACACACAAGAGCTAAAGTGCTTCATGCCCGACAGTCGGTCTTCAGTCATTAATTGTGCGGATTTGCAGACAACGTAGCTTCTCATTTGTTAGGGTTGCACTCCATAATGCAGTTGTAAGGTGTGAGCCTGCAACAGATGTTAAAATTCCTGGTTAACTTTAAATGTAAATTTATATAGTTAACTGAGTTAGACTCGGTGATATTGCAAGCCTCTCCTTGGTGATGTCCTCTGAATCAACGCACTTTGTGCGACAAGAGTTTTCAGTATTCGAACCTTTTCTGTATCGGAAAGTGATTCGTACGGAGCTACAGTTACCCAATGAGGCTGAAAATCAACGGCCTTTGAAATCCGCGGTTGCACGAGTGTACCCCGCGGCGCAACCCGTACGGGTATACACACTGGTATACACAACGACGCGCATTCCCACGCCTTCGATTAAACTGCAGCTACCTCTGTTCAGCCATTCACACATCGTTTACAAAATTACATGTAATTGCAAGGCCACTTACATAGGCATGACAGAGCGCCAGTTGCGGGTGAGAATCGCGGAGCATATCCCGGGGTGGGTCAAGAATCACATTTCGAACCTAGCCCTGTCCACCACCCAAGTTGCGCAGCCAAAGAACGCAAGTGGTCAACCTTTTAAGACGCCTGCGTCATTTATCGCCCGCCATCTCCTGACCGACAAACACTGTGTTGATCCCACGCGTATGTTCAGTGTGATCTACGCAGCAAACAACACTCATGTGCAACGATACGCTGAGGCGGTCGCAATCAAACAGTTTGACCCTAGTCTGTGTGCAGAAGGACGCGTTCGTCACTCTGGCTCTACCCTGGTAGTAAGCCAATAGACAGTTGATGAATTGACAAAGACGTGTGTGCGCGTGTATGTGGGTGTACGTAGGTTGGTGAATTTGCTATTTCAACTTTCTTAACTCTTCATGATGCTATTAATTTTCACGTGTTCTGTAGTACGCACTTGAGAATATGCAGAGAAATTTGTCCGGAATTAAATCGTGCGGTGCTTTGGTGTTAACCTTTTTACTGAAGATTTCGTCGGGTAGGTGTTGCTTCATCTATCTCAAACCGCACTAATTTGCAAGACCGTGTTGTACATCCCCCAATGGTCGCTGTTATCAAGACGCTTTCTGTGTTCACCCATTGACAAACCATTTTGCTAAGAAATCTTAACCCTACATCGTTGATATAGTGCTTAAACCTATTAGGAATATTGTTCCCAACACAGAGCAGAAAGGAATCTGACGAGTTGTTAGCGTTCGCTCCCCTTAATGGGCGACAAGTTACTGCTTATCGGGTGAACTAGTTTAACGGGTTTATCCAATACGGATCTTGTACTGCCAGCCTAGGCTGCTGAAACAGCTTTTCACCTATTGCTGTTAGATATTTCTTTTTCCCTGAAGTTGATGCATGCGCTCTACTCACATCGGGATGCTTATTTCAAGCAATACTAGTTCGAGTCTCCATTCAGTTAGTTTCTAGCATATTTATGGGATTACAACTCAGAGATGCTAGCACATCGTCCTATTCAAGAATACCTAGTCTTTTGGCATGTTCATTGGGAATACTCAGTCTGTTAGAGAACTGGACATTACTTGCGTGTTAAGGGGCAGAATGGAAAGTGCACATGTGACGTGGGAGCCACAACCTGGTCAGGAGGAAGAAGCACAGATCATTTGGGCAGACCTCAGGTCATCCGATTTCGATTTTTAATTTTACCTGACCAGTTCAGAAGTGGAAACTTGCTCTAATTTGTTCGAAAAACTCAGATCACAGATTAGTGATGTCCATAGGAGACGGTGTGCTGAGCAGCACCTGTTAAGTCGAATTACAGTAGTGTGACCACGCTGGTGCATGATACCATTCGGAGGAACAGGGCCAGGAGATTCAAACTGTTCTAAGTACCCACTGCTTAGTTGGATCTATTGAGATCTCGGTCATTCCGGTCACAGAAACGGTATCCGAAATAGAAGTGTTTCGGTGTTGCTCCTCCCAACACTGACACCCATGACCGGTTTCGTCCTCGTTTAGACTCATCAGATGGAGATGGCCTGAGCTAGGGGGGAAATCGGGGTCTAGTGGTTAGAGACTGACGCCTGGCTCACTATGTCTCTAAGATCCTTGAGCAATGCTTGGCACAGCGGCAAGCAATTCAAAGTACGATTGGGAATACCCGTCGCGTTGTCAGATAACGACATGCAATCTCTACTGATACCTCGGCACATTTCGGATACGGTCTTTGTGATCAGAATGACCGAGGTCTCAATAGATTTGGTGTGTCGAAATCCAACTTGACGGGTACGCCAAACACAACTTTGAAGGCCTTACCGCTGTGCCAAGTGTTTTTCATGAATCCATGTAGCTTAGTGATCAAGGCGTTAGCCGTGAACCACCAGGCCCCGAGTTATACTCCCAGCTCAGACTATCTCCATCTGATGTGTCCAAATCAGGACGAAACCGGTCGAGGGGTGTCAGTGTTGGAAGAAGTAACACGGAAACAACTCCAGAGCCCGGGGACTTACGGGGACAAAATCACTTCAGCTACTGGGAAACTTGTTACTGAACATCATAGCAGGCGAAACAACAGACTACGTCGATCAACAACATCGTTTATCAAATGTAAGTTCAGCACCAACGCTAACAGCTTTCAATGCTTTTTCATGCCGATGGCCACTTCGTGTTAGATCTGCGAAAACTATCCTGGATTGTAGCCACATTAATGTCAAGTGTTTTATCTATGCAGTCGTCTTTACACAGTCATGCCTGAAGCACTGAAGGTGGTTTTGCTTTTGTGAATGTTTGCTCGGTTTGCTCTTGATGGCAGCCGTTTGTTGCTAGGCATTGTCTCACATTTCATCAGTTCCAATAGATCAGTAACTGGGAGTACACTCAGAATCCATAAATGTCTGCCGTAAATGCCGCAGTGTTGGCAGTCGTATTGATGGAATGCGCACCATGGAGGTTTGCTACGTGCTCGTAAGCCCAAAAAGCGTTTATGATGGATGTAGGATACCCATCAGTCACTTCCCTGCTGTATGAATTTTACACTGCGTTTTACATCGGGGATGTTCTGTTGGCGCGGATCTGGACTAATTTGCGCACTTTGCTCAACAATTTGAGTCTACATGATGCAACTCCCCACTCAATTTGCGAAGCAACGGTTCTGGAACAAATACATCTTGCTCAACTACCCGACGGTGTCACGCTTGGATGACTGCTGCTTTTTATATCCTGTAATGCCTCAGCAGAACGAATGGTGTAACCCGTGAAGTTACACCGTGATATGGACCAATGAATGAAGCTGGTGAAATCGCTACTGAGTGGAAGGATGATTCTTGTTTAGTAGCACTTAAGTCAATATATCTACCCGGTACCATCAAATATTGGCTCCGTTGTACCTAAGGCGATTGAGTAGTTGGTCTAGTGTTCATCGATCTATACTGACTAAACACATTTGGATGCATATTCTATGAGCGTAGTCTGGAATAATCATTCTCCAACTTACCATCGGGTTTGTTCGGATATGCTGCAAACATCTCGGCGCATGTTCGAGCTGGATGTTCTTGTGTTCCCTGAGGGATCGGCTGACCAGTTGTTCCATAGAGGCGTTTCAAAATGTTTTCGTCACTAAACATTCGACCTTTGGTCCTCGAAGCTCTAGCCTGCATACTCATCACTTGACCTGGTGGTCCTGGTGGTCCCATTGGTCCAATAGGGCCCTGAGAACCAGGAGGACCAGGATCACCGTCGCGGCCCGGTGACCCCATTGGGCCCATTTCGCCCGGATCGCCTCGATCCCCACGTTTTCCTCGTGCGCCCATTGGCCCGCGTTCACCGATTGGCCCTGGAGCTCCACGCGGTCCTTGTTCTCCCGGATGACCAGGTGGTCCGTCGATTCCTGGAGGTCCGGGGAGCCCCATCAGTCCTGGACCACCAGGAGCTCCTTTGGGACCTGGATCGCCTTGCTTGCCAGGTCTGCCTTCTTTCCCCGGTATTCCGGGATGTCCAGCATCTCCTCTGGGACCTGTGGTTCCTTTAGGGCCCAGAGGCCCAGGAATTCCTGCTTCTCCTTTGGCCCCCATTGAGCCCGCCATTCCGGGGCTTCCGCGAGGACCACGGGGTCCAGGAAATCCAATTGGACCGGTTGCGCCGGGTTCACCTGGCTTCCCAACAGAACCCTGCGGACCTGTAGCTCCAACAGGACCAGGAGGTCCAGGTCTTCCAGGTAATCCGGGTCGCCCGGGTGGGCCTGGTGGTCCTGGGTCCCCTATTTCTCCCGTCTCTCCGTATTTTCCCGGAGGTCCTTGTTCCCCAGTGGGCCCTTCGCTGCCCTCATTTCCTGGTGCACCCTCTGGACCCGGTTCTCCAGGAGGTCCAAGGAATCCTGGATAACCAGTTGGTCCTGTTGCTCCAGGTTTTCCGGCTTCCCCAGGCGATCCTGTTTTACCTCGCAAACCAGGAGCTCCTCTCTGTCCAGTGGGCCCTTTGCGGCCAATGTTGCCATTCATCCCAGGTGGGCCCATAGGTCCGGGCTCACCAATATCACCACTCAAACCTGCTGGCCCCGGAGGTCCTCTGCGACCAGGTTCGCCTCGAAGTCCAGTCAATCCCATGGATCCTTTCCTGCCTGGAGTTCCTGGTGCGCCTTGGGCTCCCATAGGACCGGCATCACCAGCAGGTCCCGGTGGTCCAGGTGGACCATCTTCTCCTGGTGCACCATCAGGTCCGTTTTCACCGTCTACTCCGGGTGCTCCATCTGTGCCAGGTTCTCCTGGGGCTCCTGGTGGACCCTGCTCGCCTTGGTCTCCACGATCTCCCGTGGGGCCCTTGACTCCAGGATTGCCTTTGGCGCCCGGCATCCCAGCCACTCCGGGGGCACCAGGTGGCCCACGCTGACCAGCGAGGCCTGTTCCACCGACGATTACTTCTTGTTCTACTGCTGCAACTTCCGAAATACCCGGTGGTCCACGAATACCTTGGGCACCACGTAGGCCCTGAAATGGTGGAGATAACACTGAAATGTGACACCTGTAGGGTAAGAGGCATATTTAAATATGGCTACTTCTCCGTGGAAACTTAATAACTATTCGATTTCAGTTGTCAATTTTAATGGAGAAGATGTCTATCTAAACCCTCGATCGACCAGACAGGAAAAAGACGTTTACTGGATGCCCGATACGTACAAACACAGGTTAGCCGACAACATAAGGCTCGGAGGAGTGTGGGAAGTACTTGCGCGGGCGGAAACAATTAACAGTGATTTATTGCGAGTAGAAAAGTATGTGCTTGACAAGTCCCGTCGGATGGCTGCAGTGAAAACTACCATATCGAAAGACATTTGCATCGTCTGTTTACGCGTCTATCGAGCAAATGCGTTGCTGATTAGCGGTAGTGTATAATGAGAATTGCGTACAAACATACAAGTCAACATGTGGAAGCTTTAGCTTGCGTATTCCATGAGAAAAATGGAAACAAGAACATTCAAGTACCGCCTGAAGTTCATGTGACAAACCAATTCGGTGCGAGGGCGACAAATAGATTCAAAAGTAGCACAGTTTAGGCAACAAAGGGATGGGAGCCAATAGCAACATCCAAGAGTTTTTTTTTGATAGTATCCAAAGTAGAGGCGGAGAAAACTGAGATCAGGAGAGCATTCTAAGTTTGAACAATTAGGTCGTCGCTATTCCAGACAGATGCACCGTTCAAACAGTTTAAAGCAGTTACCTCTGTGGTTGGTATTGTGGCTAATTTTCAGCAAATAAAATAAATGAATTTTTATATTTATCCACAAACGGTATACGGCTCCATAAGCGGAAGCGATCATTCGTACACTGAATAGGTTTCATGATTGTTGCGACATAAATTTATGTTAATGCTTTTGCATAGTTATGGGCTTTTGCATAGTTATGGGCTTATGTGTGAGCATCCGATAACCGATTCCAGTTCAACGTGATCGAGTGCAAAGTCGTTAGCATAAGCCATCAACTTATCTATGAATATCGACTTGAGGAACTAGCAGTTACAACGTGCTTTCCAATAAATCGAACTCGGGGTGATTGTGCGCTACGATGGTTGCTCGAGACAGACTGAAAAGGCATGAAAAAGAGCCAGTGAACATTTTGGATGCTTACGGAGGGTTTTCGCGAATTCTGAGCTATCAATCTTGTTCTGCGTAATTGATAATCTTCTCTCAACTTACACACGTCGCTCATGCAAATTGTGGTAAATTCGCGTAATTTTATCGCGTGGTATTTTTAAAAAATAACTTACGGACCTTTTGTACTTATCGCCTATTCACAGTTAACCAATTTCTTCCATATGCTCATTTAGCGAGTATTTATGTCGTCATATGCGTTTACTTTATTCGATATCGGCATTTCGAATGATTGGCTGTTGTTTGACATCCCAGGTGTGGCTGCGCTTGATGTGCATCTTGACAAGGTGTCTACCTGTCTACTACCACTACCTCGTCCATCTGGCTCCAGGAGACAGTTGGGCCTTGCTGGAGGGGACGGGGTGCACGGTCCTTGTGGTCGTGCTAGGCTCGAAGAGTGGTTCCATGCCACTCAGTGTGGAGCGGACTACGGTCCAGCCACTGCCTTGTGTGCACTTGATTCCCCAAATACAGCGTGCTTGTGTTTGCCTGTGAAGGAGTGTGGGCTCCCATCCGCATGCCTTCCGGTCTTATTCCTTCGGATTTACACTGGATATGGGGTGTGTGGATGGAGCTGTGGGTGGTGCAGCGCATGCCATCCATGGTTCCTCTGTATGCGCAGACCTCCTGTGGCTGGCCACAGTGACAGGCAAATGCGAAAACGGATGCCGCCAACCATATATAGATCGCAATCTGAGTACAGATATTGTACCACCGGAACCATGACGTCTACAACAATTCTAGACAGAGAAATGCAAACTGGAAAGACGTTGAAAACCTGACAATACCACCCGTCATGTGACATACCTATGCAGCCCCTCACAATCCATCACTTTACTATAACCCGCTTTTAGCGGAAGCGGGAATGGCTCCGCATCCATTCCCACCACTGACACATCCAGCAGAGATAGCCTATCTTGTTCCAGGTTTCTGGCAGTTCCTCCACATTTCACGGTTAGCGCAGTACCAGATAAATGCAAACCTAGCCTCGGTACGTCAACCTTTTCCGCCCACCCGGTTTTACTAACACGAACAATGCCCTAACAGCTAAGCATTCCACCGATGGATTTGTTTCCATAACCCCTTAGTTAACTTCTTTGCCTGTCATTACTGATTCACAATGCTCTGAATTACTCACAGAAAAGGATTTTGTGTATAACACTAATCGGTTATACGAATTAATACAAGATCCATAAAAAACAAGTTGCATTTGGTAAGTATGTTTACTCAGCTGAGCACCCCACAAATAACCTTCCTCACCGAAATATGATGCTCCTTTAGATATTCCTAACTACAATCTATTTCGAAAATATCAAAGTACAAAAATGGGAGGTGGGTGCATCTTATGCCTCCATCGTAACTTAGTGCGGAGCTCATTGACAACCCACAGTTACACGATGTACCAGACTCTATGGCCGTCAGTCGCTGCAGCCTCTTCTACAATACTTCTCGGTTGCATCTACCTTCCGAAAGCGACAGCCAGCGATATCGCCATTATTTCCTCGGGGTTTGATTTCGAGTCGGTATTACCACGGCGTCAAAGATAATCGCTGGCGATTACAACCTGACGAATATTACTTGAGCACCACAAACATATTCATCGTTGCACAGATCTTTCTTATTGACTATCATAGTTGGGGGTTGGACTAAGTGGGTCATTAGCCCAACTAGGTCTGCCAAAGTACTGGATTTAATCTTCACCCTGGAGATCCCCGAAGCACGAATTGACATCTTAGATAACCTTCCCAATAGTGACCACAAGATGTTACGCCTTACCTCCTACTTGGAAATGAATACCAAACACGACTCACCCACCCGGCATACTACACAGAAGGTTGACTGGGAACATTTCGGAAAGCTGATCCAGTCGTCCAATTGGTATGCATATTATCTCTCCACTAGTGCCCCATTACAGTAGAACAGTTCTACTACGATCAATCGCATCATAACTACACTTATCCCACATTATAAACGGGCCATTCCTGGTACTAAGAATGTAAGTGACCCTCTGAGTGATCTGAAAAGGAAAAATCTAATCGGGAAACTCAGAAAAACTAGAGGCTTTAATATTACAGTGACACGAATCAATCGCCTGTATCAAGCCCTCATGAATGAAACGGATTGAAATGGAGGAGCAGAGGGCCTTACGGATGACAAGAAAGGGAGAGGAACTAACCAAATTACTCCGTCAAATGACTAACAATCGGATGTCTTTGATCCCAGAACTGGTTGATGAGGATGGTCGCCATCTTAACGAGCCACCTGCTATATGCGAAGCGTTTAGCAATTTGTTCGCTGGTTTCATGAAGGTAGAAAGCGACCCTATACCTATCTGCCTTGAACTTACAAGTGTCATACTTAATATCGAGATTTATCTTACAACCTTCTAATAGGCTATGAAGTCCATCAAATTATCGCTCAAACCAGACTTCTATGGCATTCTCCCCATCAGTTATTAAACTCGGTGGATCTGACATACAACTGCTTTTGCTAAACATGTTCACCTTGTCGTTAGGACCTAGCTACTTTACGGATCGTTTCTTGTCCCTGACCATAAAGGTGAGCCCAAACAGCATGTCATTAATTGTCGACCTATCCATCCTACTCCCGTTATCGCTAGATTACTCGAAAAATTAATTAAAAGTGGAATCATGAACTGCTTAACAAATCCCAGCATGGGTTTCCTCGATAAACGTTAGTGTACAACGTGTCAGTTGCATTACCTGCATTACATCATAGAAGCCATTGACTCCAATTATGCAGTTAGAATACTGTTCTTAGATATGCAGAAAGTATTCGACAAAGGGCCCCACAAGCGGCTACTGAAAAGAATCAAGTCGTTTGGAATCACAGACCCACTATATGGTTGGTTGACATCATACTTATATGGGCATTACCAGATAGTCACTCTGGGTAATCGTAACTCCTCCCCACGTCCAATCACTATTGGTGTCATCCAAGTGAGTGTACTTGGTCCTTCGCTTTTCCTATTTTATATTAACGGTATCACGGTGTTCATAAAACATGGCAGGCCATTTTTGTTCGCCGATGACATAAAGATCTTTTTATAAATTTCGACGAGATGAACTTCGCACCGCAATGCTGCTGGTTCACGAGACCTCGATTCACTTGAGAAATGGTGCGACACGGATGTTAAACTTCTCAGCTAGTAAATCACGCATTATGTCACTGAAGAGTCAGTTAAACTGAACAATGAACGTATCTGTGTGAAACTACTGAACTGTGATATAAGCACACGATACTCCTCAAACTTTAATTTCTCAGAGCAATTTGTGTATTAAATAGCACGTGCCAAACAAGCTATGCCTAGGCTATGCCATAAGGTCTATACAACCCCTGCCAGACTCGAGTTTTTCAAATTACCTACACTTCCTATCCTTGAATACTGCAGCATCATTAATGGGAACATGCGTCCGAGTGACAGGAAAGTTTTGAAAACCTGCAAAGATCATTCACTAAACGCTTGTTTAGCAAATTAACCACCTTATCAGGAGCGCTGCTAGCAGCTTAAGCTCGAGCCCCTTTTTGCGACGATTGAAACATGATCTGATGCTGATACTCAACCTCATAAACCGAAAAACATACTCCAGTCTGTGCACACTCACATGGTAACGTAACTTCACTCGGAATATACGTAACAAGAAATGTACATTAACTGTGCCAAAAACCAAGACATCTACCTGGTTCAACTCCTTTCTCGCCAGATACGCTGTCGTGTGGAATAGCCTACACGCAACGCTCAGGTCTTGCACAAATGTGAGAACATTCCGCATGCAGCTTAGTAAATTCATGGACCATACCTCAATAATGACCATGTTT